ACAACAAATCAACCAATACTATACAGAATAACGCCCCTATGTTAAATTTGTTAATCACTAGATAAGGCTTTTGCCTCCCCCCTTATCCGAAAAGAAAAAAGATCAGAGCTTCTCCAATTTATTCAATTTGATTTAAACTTCTTAGTGGCCTTGTTTTATTTTTCAAAATCTCAAAGCTCTATTTTGTTGACAGTAGTGTTAATGGGACCATTTCCCATTACTATTATTTATTTTATTTAATAAAAAGTATTTGACCGGTTTGTTTAATAAAATATAATATAAGAATTTATTGACCACCTTCCATAAAAGAAAATAAGAATTTAAATAAATTTTACTTTTATTATTCAAAAGACAAAAAATAATTTAAAGATTTTTTTATTAATATATGGTAAATACAATGTAATATTTATTTAAAGAATATTCTTAACATTTGATATTGAAGTCTTATACCTCCAACATTTATGATGTTTAAACCAAGAATCTCAATAAATAATAATAAATCATTTACTTCTAAAGTTGTTTGAATCGTACAAATATAAAGATTTTAACTTGAAAAAAAATTATTTGGAAAAAAAAGAAATAAAATAGTTGAATGACTTGAATGATCGACGCTTTTCTAAATCGTATGATTCTAGCGGGCTCGCAGAAAAAAAAAATACTCGCGTGCGATAGTCTTAATATACTGTTAAAAAAATACGTTATCGGTTTTATATTAAGGTACCGCAACGTAATACTTCCCCGCAGAAAACCCTTAACCCTCGAATTCATTACTCTCATTGCAACCGGCAACCGCCCCTTTAAAAGCCAAAAGCCCTAACAGACCCTTCCTCTCTTGAAGCAACCTTGACGCGGCTGCCATTTTCTTTTTGCTTACAGGTAGGCTATACACTTTTTTTTCTTCAGCTTGTAGATCATGAGACTTTTACTTTCGTTCTAATTGAATGTTTGTTATTGTTATTTGATCTTGTATTCCATTCTCAAAAAAGATAAAAAAAAGAAGAAGAAAACTCTAATGATTTGTTGTGGGCTTATAGAAAGTATAGGATCCGTTACCCATTGTTTTTTATGTTCCTAAATGAGTTCCCTTGACCATTTTCCTTTATTTTAGCCTAGAAAAAGAAAAATCTGGGTTTGGTTGAAACGGTTTCCTTGTTTTGATTTTGAATTGCTTACGGTCATGTAATCTGTTGGGAGAAAACATATTTTGATTTGAATATGGTTTAGAAATGGATGCAATGATTATTACTTATTTATTGTAAAAAAATCAGAAGCAGGAGCAGCTTGTATTTGGAAAAATGGTGAGGGTGAGCGTTCTGAATGATGCACTCAAGAGCATGTACAATGCGGAGAAGAGGGGAAAACGGCAAGTGATGATCAGGCCGTCCTCTAAAGTTATCATCAAGTTCCTTTTGGTGATGCAGAAGCATGGTTTGTTTCTCTTATAATCTCTGCCTCTTAGCCTTCACTCTAGTTTGACTCTACGATTACTAGGATTTAGGTGTGTCAAATTCAAGTAAATATCATACATGGATAAGTTCAATTTTTGCAACTTTTTTCAAATATTTAGAGCAACATAGGCTTTAATCTGACTTATAGTGATATGAAAGATGCATAATGTAGATACATGAGTTTTTGATGTGCATTGCAGGTTACATTGGAGAGTTTGAGTATGTAGATGATCATAGAGCCGGTAAAATTGTGGTTGAACTGAATGGAAGGCTGAACAAGTGTGGGGTCATCAGTCCTCGTTTTGATATCGGAGTGAAGGAGATCGAGGGTTGGACTGCTCGGTTACTTCCTTCCAGACAGGTCAGCTAATAAACTTCATGACCTTTTAAACTTTTTTTGTTTAGTTTTTGATGGAAATGTTTTTATAAGAACTGTTGGTAAGTATTATCTGAGTTCAATAAATGTACTTTGTTTTATGAATATTATTATTTCTTATATAGGTTATAAGTGGCATCTATGGTTGTAATTTGTGATCAAGTTGACCTGAACTTGAACTTAAGAAGATAAAAGCTTGATTGGAAATTTAACACTCACTTTTAAAGCACGAGCTTGGTCCAATATAAAAATCGAATTGTATGAGCTTGCTAAATTGAGCTCATTTACTGATGAGTTGGAATTACATGTTATACTTCGAACTTTATTATTTTTGGTCAAGCTCGAGTTTTGTGTTTGGCTTGAGATTTTTGGTTACCGATTAAAATTTTAAAAAGAAGCTTGGTTATATTTGAGATTTTTATGCTTTCATTGTTGCAGTTTGGCTATATTGTTCTTACCACATCTGCTGGAATAATGGACCACGAAGAAGCCAGAAGAAAGAATGTAGGTGGAAAAGTACTTGGCTTCTTCTATTAAGAGACCTAGTATCTGAGAAATCTCATTTTCAGTTGGGATTGAACTCTTATCGAGATGTTGGTATTATTTTTGTAGTTTTTCAGTTATATTTTAATGTTTCGTTTATGTTATTTGCGATTATGAATTGTTCGTTTCCGGATTTCCTTTGGTAATAGTTGAAAGAGTTTTATATTTGGTAATTTCATTCAACTTCTCTTTGGATGGTACAGCTTTCTTTGTGATATGTGCACATATAATCGGTCTTATAACATGCAGACAGAATTGACTTGATTATAGTAACTAAAAACTTAATAATATTATTTTTAAAAGATTATAATAATTTAATAATATTATTTATGATACAAATATTAGCTTATTTATACTCAGGTAAGTTCTTTTTCTTCAAACGTTCCTAATGAGCGTATTAAAAGTAAATGAGGGATCTCACTAGACTTTGTTAAAACATATATTTATTTATATAGGTATAAATTAATGTATTATAAAATAAGAAAAATTACTAACTTCTCTCATTTTTTACTCAAAAAATGAATAAGAAAAATAAATGTTTTTACACTATTTTTTAAAAATTATAGATTGAACGAAAAATGGTTGAATTTTGTTTCACTTCTTTAAAACATTCAAAAGTTGCAATAAACATTTGGAGATCTCTCTCTCTCTCTCTCTCTCTCTCTCTCTTCATTGACTTTTTAATTTTTACCGATATGAATTAGGGAAAAAGATTAAGAAATTCTAATAATTATTTTTACGAAAGATGAATACATGATATAAATACATGAGTTATTGTCACCAATGAAAAAGAAGTATGTATCAGTGATGATCTTTGGTCAGATATTAATTTTAGGTGTCAAAATCTTTGAAACATGAGGAGTGAAGCATAATATAAATGACTTATCGAATTTCAATCTGTAAATTATTTTATGAAAAATAATGATTTTATCCATTAATTAAACAAAATTAGTTACTTTTGACTAATTTTGTTTCTTCATCCAAACATTAGAAAAATATAAAAATATTCTTTTGTAAAATGAAATTAACGAAACAAACGTACCTTTATTTTATTTTATTTTTGAGAAATAAACAAACGTACCTTTAATCTCAAACAATAGGGGACTTTATTTCAATTTTTTTACTGTGATTGTGTTTGGGCCATGTTTGAGATCCATGACCGTATGGTTCAGATTTGAATTGGACGAGCCCAAAAGAGGCTGACGACGAACATTAGGGTTCTTCTGGATCTGGCTGTTACCGGACATATTGGAAAGACAGTGAGGTGGCTTTTGGTTCGCTAGAATGTTTATGAGGGAATTAGAATCTGTAAAAGAATTAGAATTTGTAGGAATTGGAATTCAATTCCATATTCTGTTTGGTTGACAGGAAATGGAATTGGAATCCAATTACATATTTTGTTTGGTTCGCAGACATGTCAAATGAATTTGATTTCAATAATGTAAAATGACAGAATTGTCCTTCTTGTTTTTTTACTTTATTTTAGTTTATTTTACAACTTACATGTAGTAATATATTATAAAAAAATTAAAAAATATTAAATTTTTATTTTATTGATTGATTATTCATTTCAATAAATTATAAAAATCATGTTAATAAACATTATAAGTTAAAATCATCGCAATCAAAATATGTTAATAAGTTACTAAAAGATAGAGCAATATTTCGATACATTTCAATCGGAGTATGTTAATTAGTTACCAAAAAATATACAAAAAACTACTTTTATTCAATATATGAATTAGAAACCCGACCCGACATGACTCAAAATAATAATAAAAATATTTTTATTCAATAAAAATATTGACTTAATTGAAAAAAATTATATATATAGGGGTATTATTGTAATTATTCTTAAATATATAAAGTAAAATTATATATTTTTTCGGGTCGGTCCGATTTTTTTCACCCTAAACCCGAACCCGACCCGAATATCACACTTAAAAAACCCGATCCAACCCGAACAAAATAAAGTTTCACCCGACCCAACCCGAATATATGAATTAGAAATCCGACCCGACCCAACCAGAAATAATAAAAAATTATTTTTATTTAATAAAAACAATGACTTAATTGAAAAAAATATATATAGAGGGGTATTATTATAATTATTTCTAAATATATAAGGTAAAATTATATATATTTTCGGGTCGGTCCGGTTTTTTTCACCCTAAACCCGAATCCGACCTAAATAGCACACTTAAAAAAACCCGACCCGACCAAAATAAAGTTTCACCCGATCCGACCCGAATATATGAATTAGAAACTCGACCCGACCCGAAATAATAAAAAAATATTTTTATTCAATATATATGAATAAATTACCAAAAAATTGATGAGGGTAGTATGATCAAATTTCAATTCCCTCCAATAAGATAATTGAATTCCATCTATTTTTTTTGATGGAATTCACTTTCCCTCATTTGATGGAATTGAATTCTATCATGGATTTCAATTCCCTTGAAAAACTTGAACCAAACATGAGAAAGTGGTGAAATTGAATTTCAATTCTCACCAATTCCAAGGGATTTCATCCAATCAAACGCCGCATGTTGTGTTTTAAGTAAATTAATTAGTGGTATGCTTGTAATTTCTGTTAAAATATCAATTGAATATTTCTCTGTTTCTTCTCTATTTTCTCACTTTTCGAATTTGTAATCTACATTTTCTATCCTTCTTCTTAGTTTGTTCCTTCTCCGTTTCCATTACGAATTTGGCTTGCAACACTGGACTAGCCTAGGCTTTAGAGACTCGAATTCTTTAACGTAATTTGTTTATGGAGGTCGAAAATTAAGGAGGGAAAGTTTGTCTTACGTGAATCAATATGAAATCGCTGGCTTCAGCCTCATGGAAAGCCCCTCTGAAGTTCAGGATGTATGCTCCCTGCTCCTAACTCTTCTTTGTTTCTAGGGTTTTAGGTTTTGAGTCTTTGTTTATCAGGATTAAAAGCTTGATTTGCTAATTTTGAACCAAAAATTGAAGGCCGACAGCCGAGAATTTGATACCCATTAGGTTGGACATCGAAGTCGATGGGCAGCGGTATAAAGACGCTTTCACTTGGAACCCTTATGGTATGCATCAAACCTTATATCGTTTCTCATGAATGCAAGAAATTTCTAGGAACTTCTTATGCTGTGTTTGGAAATTTGGATTTAGATTTCGTTTGTTATATTAACTGTGGGAAAATGCATACATTATGTATGAATCAGTTAAAATATGGGGGCATAAATTTCAATTTCATAAATATTGATTACATTTTCATGTGTTCTATTACGCGATTATACTCTTTTTTAATTCAAATTTATCATTTGAAATCTGAGTTCTTGAACGCCACCTTAGTTGAATTTGCTAATCGAATGAATTCTCGTGTGTGCATGCTTGTATCTAAAAGATCCAGATTCAGAGGTGGTGATGTTTGCAAAAAGGACTGTAAAAGACTTGAAGCTTTCCCCTGGTTTCCTTCCGCAAATCGTTCAGTCCATTCAGGTAACTATAACCGTTTTCTTCCTCTCTTTTCAATCTTCAAAAAAATAAAATAAAATAAAAAGAAGTTGCACTTTAAATCCGATTTGTTGTTTTACTTGACCTTATTCTATTCTTCACTTTGCGTGCTATTTGTTAGTCACAGCTTGCTACCTTTCGATCATATGAAGGTCAGGACATGTATGTCGGTGACAAGATCGTTCCAATTAAGGTTTCTTTCATAAATAAACTACCAAGAAGATTTGTATAAATACTTCCTTTTTCCTTTAATGACTTTCTAACACCTACTTATCCATCAAATGGACTTCATCAGCTTGATCTTCGAGTCAATCATACCATTATTCGGGATCAGTTTTTATGGGTGAGAATTGAAAAATGATTCTGTATCATATCATTATCAGATTCATATCCATGTTGTTGTGTTTTCTCATGCTTGCTCATCATTTATCTTTTATGAGCTTTGCAATTATTTCTCAATGAGATTTTTGAATCTATTATCTTAATTTGTTGTAGGACTTGAACAACTTTGATAGTGACCCCGAAGAATTTGCTAGAACTCTCTGCAAAGATTTAGGCATTGAAGACCCTGAAGTTGGGGTAAACAATTCATTTTCGAAGGATACTCATAAAATATTCATCTACCCTGTTTCATTCTATTTTTCTGCCAAACATATCTTATGTACTTGGTATCTTTATTCTTTGCAGCCTGCAATTTCCTTAGCAATCAGGGAGCAACTTTATGAGGTAGGTATCAAGTGTTTCTACCTTATCTTAGTCATTGATGTTATGAATTGTATGGTCTGGCTGTTCTTATATCGTTTTAATGGTATGCATTTTAGATTGCAATTCAAAATGTAACTTCAGCAAGAGAGAACAGATTAAACAAAAAGGGTCGCCGAGCAGCTGAACATTTCCCTATCAGGTTTTTGTGTTGTTTCCTTTCAATGTAGTAATCATGTTGTGTGCATGTCGATGACATTACTCTCTGTTTTTCCCCTCTCGCAGTAAAGCTAGTGGTGCTGCATTGGACCTGATGAAGTTATTCAGTTTCAGATCAAGTGTTGTTCGGTATGCCCTCTAGATCAATCTCGTGCAGACAATTTTTTATTTTGAGCCTTGAAAAATTGTTATGGTCCATTTGGAAACTGTATTTAAGGGTGAGGTTTGGATTTCAAGATCCAAATTCATTGTTTGTGAATGGTTTTATTTGGATTTGTGTCAAATTTAAAAGGTGCACTAGTGTTTCAAAATACTTCTTGTGCTATGTATTTTTAGAAGTCAGCACAAACAGGACTCTCTTACATGTTCCCATATTAGAATTTAGAAAACATCACAAATTTAAGATTAGTTGAAATATTGAACTTGAATCCAGATTAAAGAATTCATAAATTTAAAATCGAAAGAATATAAATTAATAAAGCTTAATCCACATTCAAATTTAGGCTGCCAAACCCAAACCTTAGTTTCTTCTGTCATGGTAGTTTATGATTTGCATGACAGCTCCATGTCTTAAGTGAAATGATACTTTGTATTTGAGCATCTAATACCTGAATTCCTAAGCACTTTTGAATTGTGTTTCTTCAAATAAGGTAATGAGCTTTTTAAATTTAAGTGTAACATTAACATCACCTTTTGTCGAACTCTTGTCTTCCACTCGTGCTTATGGATTGCATTACCTTTAATGGTTCCATTAAAAGACCTAAAAGATAAAGCCTACCTTATTGCAACCGTCAAACTCTCCATTATACCATATTTCCTAGGGATGTAAAGCAATTGAGTTATGTCGTCGGCAGATTGGTTGAAGTCTCAACATAACCATTGAAATCTTTTATCAATTTGAAAGCATTGATGTAACCTTTTGTTGCATTTTTATTTTCTATATTTGTTTGATAGATGCTCTTTATGTTATAAGTACACTCATGTTTGATCTCTCTGCTTGCTCAATCACTTCAGAGAACTTCTAAAGAAAGATGCTTATGGTTTGCCTTTTGTTTCTGCCGTTTCAGGAAAAGAAAGGAGTGGGATAATTATAAACCCATTCTTGACCTTCTATCGAATGAAGACGTGGATGCTCTTGAAGCCAAAGAAGAGAGGAGTGGTCTGTGAGTGAATAGATGTAGCGTGTATAAAGGATTAAAATTTGATGCACTGTTAGATTATAATTTTATGTGCCAGAAGTGAATTACATATTGACATATCATGATAAAATTTTAGAACAAAACTCATTTTAATTTATTTTTATGATGTGTCATCATCTGTGTTTAAAAAAGAGTCGCTTAAGCGCGATTAAAGCGCTAAGCGACTCGAGCGAGGCCCCTGGCGCTTCAGCATAGCAAAAGCGCTACGAATTCATTAAGCGGTAGTAATCGGCGCTTAATTGCGAGTTTAGAAGATACGATTCTGGGCTTTAGTAGATATGATTTTTGGGCTTGTTTAGGGTTTAGCAGGCTATTAGATTATCAGGCTTAGATCGGCTTTTAATTTAGGCGGGCTAGGGTAAAAATGCGAATGAAATAGCCAGACCATCACGAAATGATAAATGAAAATCTACTGCTCATAAACCTATCTCTAGTAGACTATCTCGTAGATGCTTAGTTGATGAAGATGAGATGGAAGAAGATATTAGAGTGTCTAGTGATGAAGGAGATGGTGTAGTTGATTGGATTTTCAGGCCTTCTGAGGCCCCTTCGTTCTTCAGTTCTTTGGTTCGGGAAATTGGGGAGGTAATTTCTGGTAGGGATATTATGGTTAGGCTGATCCCTAGGGCTTGTAATTGGGAGGCAGACAAGTTAGCTAAGGAGGGGATAGGTTGAATGTCCTTAGTGTTAGTGGTTATGTTTGGTATTTTATTTCGGGTGATGATGTAAATTATAGTTGTATGTAATTCTGGTTTATTAATATATTGAGGTACTCTTTTCCTCCTTCCGCTAGTTGCCTCTTCTCAAGAGGCAACTATGAGGGAGGTTTTTAATGAGACCTCCTATTTCTATAAAAAAAAATGAAGGAGATGGTGTTGTTCGAGTTGATGACAATGACGATTTAGAGGATTTTTAGTTATAAGGAATTGAGGGTTTAGAAAAATACTTTTGTTCATCTCACTTTAGACTACTTTTGGTGTAGACAATCTTTTGAGATTAATATGCTTGTATAGTCGTATGGTTAATGGTATATAAGTATTCAAGTGTTTATAACTTATAAGTAAATTGAGAATTATATTTTGGTGTTTAAGTACTTATAAGTTTTGAATATATGCATCGACACTTTGATATTTAAGTATTTATAAGATAATTTATAAATTTTTTGTATTTTTTTTGTGAATTTTGGCCTTTCTGGTGCTTCGTGTGCATAAAGCGATCACTTTCGCTTAGCGCTTCTGCATCTAGGACCCTAGGCGCTTTAGGACGCTTTACGGTTTTTAAAACCAAGGTCATCATCTAGTTTACTGATGTTACATAGAAGTATACATCAGTGCATCAAATATTCACCTATATCTATATAATGCATTTCTATTTCCTTCATTTCTTTTCAACAGTATGTTGGTTAGAAGATTTCAAGAATCGATTATATTTGGCAATCTGCCGTTTGTTAACAAAAACATTTCTAAGAACAGTTGATTTTGGTAGTTGTGTAGACGATCACAGCTTAGTTATTTTTAAGATATGATGTTTGGGTTTTTTTTTTTGTAAAGTATTCATGTCTGACACTTGTATTTGAAAATACGATCTCTAAAGATCCTCTAAATATATAAAAAGAATCTAATCATATAAATATTCGTATCGGATGTATGCACGTGTCCGAGTATCATAGTTTCTAGAGTTTAGTGGTTTCGTAGGTTATAATTAGCTTTTAGCTGTAGTCTCGTCTTTCTTTAAAACTTTTATGTGGTTTTAAACGTTGGATTTGGCAATAATAGTTAGATTCTCCTATTATATGTGATCTTTTAATCTTACAAATGTATTGTTGTAATTTTTCCATTACCAGTGACCCTACCTGCAGATCATCTTTGTTTAGAGGATGATATCTTCGTACCTATAATAACAACACGATTAACGTAACAAAAATATGACAATGTACGGTAGCGGATGGTATGACTAATTTAGCGTCGAATCTTCCGTTTGGTTTTCGAACTTTCACTCGCCCACCTGATTCGTTAGAGTTGCTGCTGCATGAGAATGATCCCTGTCTGCGAAGAGCAAGCAGATAGATGGACGACTATCCTAGGCTTTGACATCTTTTCTCTTTGTGTATGATAAGATCTAATTACATAATGTAAAATTTTTAATTTTACACAAATTTACGAATCTAGTGAAAATAGAAATGAGAATATTTAGCCCAAAAAAGTAAGAAGTTAACCTCAATTGTTTATTTTTATTCATCCAATGATTTTAAATCTATATAAAATTAAAATTGTTTTATACTGTGCAGATAGATCTTGATCAGTTACACACGTGTGTGTGTGTAATTTTTTATTCTAAAACTTTCAATTAATTTTTCCATTAAGGTGGTAAGAAAAAATGGTACGAATTCCTAAATTAGGTAAAAGTAATGCATCAAATACAAAATATTTTAAACAACAGAAATAGACTCGGTTATACATTTAATATTCATCAAGTTACATAAATATTAATATAGTGAAATTTTTTATTATTTTATATTGATAAAACAGCTGATTTTATTAAAATTATAAAATATCTAAACTATTATTAAAGTTTACAATTATAGCGCTAAACTAAACATATAATAAGAATATTTTTATATAATCATTAACGCAATAAAACTAGTCATTTAAGATCACACAATAATCATATGAGAAAAGATTAAAAAAATATAATTAAATAAACTTGAACAAAAAGTAGATATGAATAGATCTAATCGCATTAGTAAACAAATCATAAAAGAAAAAAAACTATTGAAAGACCATCGGCAAACCGTAAATCGAAGATGAGTGATGTGAGAAAACAATCCACGAATGCAAATCATGTATTTAAATACAATATGAGAGTCCAAAGCAGGAAAGATCAACATAATAACAAATAAGCGTCATCATGGTAAGTCATTACGATGTTAAATCCAACCCTAGAAAAAAAATAAACAAAGATAACGATTAAACAATCGAAAACATGTCATAAAGATATAACTATTAAAAATTAAAAACAATGAATAAAGTAAAAATATGATATAATAAAATAAAAAAAATAATAAATACCAACGATGACAACTAATATCACTATCACCTGTCGCAGTGATATAAAATATATAACAACCGCCAATAAAAAACAGAAAAAAATAAGTGCAAATTCTGGGAAAAACCTTTATTTTTTTAAGGTAGTTTGTATTATTAATTAAGAACAGAATGAATAATACTCCTACTTATTTATCCTCATAAACTTTTGAAAAAGAATAAAAGTGAAAATACTAACTAAACAAAAAGCAAAAAAGAGAAGTCATAATTAGCAAGTGTGTAAAGTAGTTTGAATCCTAACGAAAATTCCACAATAAGTAGGCGAAAAAGTCAGAAAAAGTGTAAATGTTGGGACCTTTAGAAAAAATATGAAAAAGTAGAGGGGTATCAAGAAAAGGAAAATTATAAGCTTTAATGTTCACTCGGTTTTGTTTTTTATATTTGTTTCCAACTACATTTATTAATCGAAAAGCCAATTGAAGTAAAGGCATTGGGCTTCTGTATCCTTCACTGCGCCTTCCTAGCAACAGCGTATCATATCTTCATAATTTCCCTTTTTTTCTTTATTTTTCCCCAATTTGACAGCTTCTGAAATCGAGTGTTGTCTTTTCCTCTTCATGTGATCGGTATGTGTTTCTTTTTTGCAACATTTTTGTACTTGAAATTTTTGGCTTTTTGTTGGATTCTCTTTCTGGGTTTTGGAATTCTTTGCTTTGATGGTTTGAATCTGTGGGTATTCTGTGATGCTCTTTTAGTGTTTGGATTTTTATAAATTTTTTTATTTCTTTGTTTAGCTTGGTTGATCTTGAATCTTATTTCATTTTTTGTTAGTTCATTGATCAATATAATCCACTTTTTGAGCTTCTTACCTTTTATATTCTAACTGAATTTTCTCTGTAGATAGTAATAGCATTGTTCAATTCAGCTGTTCAGATCCAAATTTGTTGCTTTTTAGGGTTCTATCTAGCTATTAAACCATAAAAAATAATGTGATCTTTCAATTTTCATGTTGATGATTTAGTTTGATTAGTTTCTAATCTGGTTGTTTTAGCTTTTGTTGGTTTGAAAATTTAAAGAAAAAAATCTATGAAAATGTTGAATTTCTGGGCTTGTTTTTGCTAATTCTGTTCTTCAATTGTGTTTTTATGTTAGATACTTTTGGGACTAAAAGATGGTGGCAGAGTCTTGGTTTCGTAGTATTTGGAAAATTCCGCGGAGGCATGAGGGAATCTCCGAGAAAGTCGAAATCGGAGTATTAGCATTTGAAGTTGCGAGTTTGATGTCTAAGCTTGTGCATCTCTGGCAGTGTTTGAGTGATAAACAGGTTGTTAGGTTGAGAGAGGAAATAACAAATTCTGTCGGGATTAAAAAGTTAGTGTCCGAAGATGAGGAATACATCGGACGTCTGATATGTGCAGAAATGGTTGATAATATTACTCATGTATCGAAGTCTGTATCTAGGCTTGCAAAGAAATGTAGTGAACCGGGGTTGAAGAGTTTTGAACTTGTCTTCACCGAATTGGTCCAGATGGGTGTCGACCCTTACGGTTGGATATTTTCGTCAAAGAAGATGGACAAGAAGGTTAAGAAGATGGAACGTTTCATTTCGGTGAATGCAACTTTGTATCAAGAGATGGAACTGCTTGCGGATCTTGAGCAAACACTAAGAAGGATGAAAAGCGGTGATTCAGCACCAGAGAATTTGCTTGAATTTCAAAGGAAGGTTATGTGGAAACAGCACGAAGTGAAGAGCCTACGGGCGAACTCTCTTTGGAATAAGACTTATGATCATACGATTTGCCTTTTAGCAAGATCAATATTCACAATATTCGGCAGGATCAAACATGTCTTCGGAGTTGAACACAGTGCAGATGTTGGAGATTCAAGGGTGATGAGTTCGGATTTTATGCATCGCAGCCAATCAGTTTCTGCCGTAATGCATTCTTTGGTTCATCCAACCGAAAACACTGGCCTTCCTAGATTTTCTTCAGGCCCTTTAGGGATTTTTAGCGCTAAATCAGGCCCAATACCAACACCAAATAAAACAAATTATTTCCATTCGGGCCCTCTTGG